CTCTTCCAGATTTTTAGAATAGTTTGATAATTCATAGTAGTTTTATTTAAAAGTTTGGTAAAATTCAGCAGTAAAACCATCTGATCCTGGGCCTTTCCTTGTTGGCAGGCTTTTTAATTCAGTCTCACCACTCGTTATTGAGCTCTTCAGGTATTCTGTGTTCTTGCACTTCTGTTTTTTTTTTTTCTTGTCTGAATCGAAAAGGTTTGCCAATTTTACATACAACCCGAGTCTTGCTGGCACACTCCTGTACTCTAGCCCTTGGATAGTGGTGGTAGGTGGATCAGAAGCTCAAGGCCATCTGTGGCTATCTAGAGTTTGTATCCTAAAACTTTAAAAAGATTTATTTATTTTTGTTTTATGTATATAAGTGTTTGCCTGCATGTATGTATGTGCATCTTATGTGTGACTGCAGAGGCCAGAGGGGGTGTCAGAGACCCTAGAACTGGACTTACAGTGTCCTGTGAACGCCACGTGGGTTCTGGGAACTGAATCTGGGTCCTCTGCAAGAGCAGTACACTGCCCTTACCTGATGAACCATAGCTCCAGGCCCCTGAAACATTTCTTAATTTAATTAGATTAAGCAGTTTTTTTTGGTGGAATCTTGAGAATTTATATGTATAGAATCCTCCCTGGTTGTTTTTTTGCCGACTTGACACAAATCTATACCGATCAGGCTAGAGCAGTGGTTCTTAATCAGTTTATCAGAGGATTTATATCCGTGGGCAAAAAGGAGTCACATGATGAAAGTGTACAATCACAGGGACAAGTCACACGTGATGGGCAAGTCGCACATGGGAAAACATGTTTTTCCATAGAAGCATATAAACAAATAACAATTGCCAGTGGTAATGAATATTCTGAAGTAAATTCACTCCTATCTGCTATACCTGGGAGGTGCATGAAAACATATTTTAAGAACAATTCTGTGTTTTTGAAGAAACTGAGGTCCCAAGACTCCTGCTTTGTATTCTTTGAGTTTTCTCATAAGCAGTTGTAGTTCTCCTCACACAACTCCATTCTTGGACTGTGTTCTAACACCTGCTTTGCTATTTGTATTTCTATTTTAGTTTGTCCCAAGGTGTTTTATTATTTCTCTTTTGATTTCTCTTTAACCTATAGGTTGTTGAATGTGTTGTTCAGTTTCCACATATTTGAATTTTTAAGTTTTCTCATTAATGATTTCTATAATAGTGTAATACCACCTGTGGTCATACCATTTGTTTTGTGGTTTAGCATATAATCAATCCTAGAAAATGTTCCATTTGTGATTATAAATAGTGTATACTCTGCTGCTGAATGTAATATCCTAAATATGTTGTTAGGTTCATTTGATCTGTAGTATTATTCATGTTAACTTTTCCTTAATGGTTTTGTGCCCAGATCTGTTCTTTCTCTAAAGTGGGTTATTGGGCTGGTGAGATGGATCAGTAGGTAAGATACTGATCCCTGAGACCCACATGGTGGGAGGAGAGAATTGCTGTGGCATGCGTGCACATCCCCAATGAATAAGAAAATGTGCTATTTTTTTTAATGTGTGGTTTTAAAGTCCTCAGTCTTAGATCACTGAAACTTTTTCTTCATTTCTGTTAAAATTTGCCCTATCTTTTTAGTTACTCTGAGTTTGGGATATAGTTATAATTGTTATATTTTCTGAGAAATTGACTTTTCATTATCTTATGATAACTTTTTGGCAATTTTTGACTAAAAGTCTATTCTGTCTGGTAAAATACCTCTGTTTTCTTTGGGATATCATTTACATGAAATAATGTTTTTCAATCCTCCCACTTTCAGCTTATTTTCTTCCTGAAGGATAAAGTTGCTTATTGACAGTGTGTTGTTTGATCATTTTTTTAATATAAATTTGTTTAGCTACTCTTTCCTTTAGATTGGGGGATGTAATCCATTTATAGTAGTGGTAGATAGAAAAGTCCTTATCACAATAAATGGGTTCTGATTTATACATCTTTCACTATCAGTTTCTCTCCTGATATTTTCTTTGTGATTTTGTTTTTAAATAATGATGTTTTGATTTTTTTTATCTTTACTTAATGTGTATCTACTATAGGTTTTTCTCTGTGGTCATCATAGGTATACATAAAGCATCCTGCAGTTATAGTCTCTTCTAAGATGCTAAAACATTAGCTTTACGCCTATAATCTCAGCACTCAGGAAGCAGAGGAAGGAGGATTATGTATTAGAGGTTAGCTATGGTAAAATAGCAAAATCTGTCAAGAAAACAAAAACATGCCTTTAGTTCCAGATGTTGGGAAGCAGAGAAAGGTAAGGATTGCTGTGATTTCTTGACCAGTTTGGTCTATGTAGTAGGTTCCAAGACTGCAGGGTTACATAGAGAGACTCTATCTCAATTCCCTCCCCACCAGAAAGAAGAACAAACAACAACAAAAAGACAAAACAAAACAAAACAAGCAAACAAACCAAAAAAAAACCCAAAAAATCAAAACACCTTCCAAGAAAAAACAAACACACACATAAAATTGCATTAACAATCTATGTTAATGATGTCCCAGATTACAACTTTCATGTATTATGTATCTTTATAAATTGTTGAAATTAATAGTTTTTTATTTAGTATTTTGAGACAAAGTTTGCTCTATCATCAAGACTGGTACTGTACTTCTGGCCCCAAGTGGTTCTCCTTTCTCAGTCTCCTGAGAATCCTGAATTACATGTGCCATTTACTCAGCTTCATTTCTCTTAACTTTCTTGTTAGAGTTAAAAGTTATTTCATACCATCACTGTGGTGGTTTACTCTTAATGTGGTCGGCACCCTTTGATTTCTTGTAGGCTAATCTGTGGTGATGAGCATCCACAGCCCTTGCTTGTTTGGGAGGGTTGCAGTTTTACGTAGGGGTTGTTGAGAAAGTCACATTGGCCAAGACATAGAGGGACCCCATGTCTTAAGAAACATAAAGAGGCCAGTGTGGCCAGATTGGAATGAATACTGGCAAGGAGCAGTGAAGGATGGGAAAATTTGGGGTGAGATAGCTGACTGTGAAGACTGACTTTCACTTGAGTGAGGTGGGGTGGAGTTGGAAGTTTGTGAGCATGGGCAATGCACATGAAGAATACAGTGGTTTACCCATGCCTACATCTTGTAGCATGTCATTCACCTCCTTAAAACTCATCTATGTGCTCACCGAACTGCATGTCTGTACCAGAGTGGATTTTGCGACATTGTTCTCACCGTGAAAATAGCCTGTTCTCATTTGTGGTTACCTCCATTTTCTCCCCATTTCTCTACGTTTTGACTCCATTATGTATAATTAATTATTATTAATTATTCTGGAAAGTTCATATAAATGAAATATACAATATGTGATCTTTTATAACTTTTTCATAATGTATAATGTTTTAAGAGTTCACCTGTGTTTAATCCTTTTTATGGCCAAATAATATTATATTGTTTGGTTATATCATATTTGTTTAATCTTTAGCCAATGGGTATTATGCCATTTTGATAATAGCTGAATAATACTATTATGAGCATTTGTAGTTATTTTTTGGGGGTGTCTATGTGTGCATATTCTTGCACTTGAGATTTTGCTTTAAAACTGTATTCTTACAGTGCAGGCAACTGAGTCCAGGCCCTCAAGTATATGAGGCAAAAACTCTACCATTTGGCCACACCCCAGCCTGAAAGTATAATTAAAAGAGCATATTCAATTGATGAAAGCTATATGACTTGGTTCTTAGAATTAGAACGTTTGATTTCATCTGCTACTTTTATTCAGTGGTTCTTGTTACAGTGTTAGGTACGTGTACACACACACACACACACACACACATACACACACACACACACACACACACACACACACACACACGTTTCTCTGCTTTGTGTTTCTTTTGAGTGAAAATTTGATTACATTAGTAGGTATCCTGAAAGGTAAGGTTCGTTCTGTGAGGATACTTACATAAAAGGTGATTAAAATGTTCTGATAAAATTTTAGTTTATGGAAGTTCTTTTCTTAAAGATATGTTTTTATTTTATGTTAATGAATTTTCTTGCACATATGTATGCCATGTATGTGTCTAGTGTCCACGGCAGTCAGAAGAGGGAGTCAGAGTCTTGGATCTGAAATTATGGATGGTTGAAAGCCACCATGTGGGTGCTGGGACCTGAACCTGAGTCCTCTGCTAGAGCAACAAGTTCCTATAACCATTGAACCACTCTCCAGCCTCCATTTTATGGAAATTCTTAAGAAGAGGTTACACATTATTTTCTGGTTAAGTTGGGGCTTATTGGTGAGGTAAGTTAGATAATACTATTACAAATGAAATAGAGAAGGCAAGAGTGGATTTCTCACAATAGAGATAAATGTTCATGTAAGTTTTCTTTTAGTTAAACATTATGAATTGGGCCAAGATAGGAAATACGGGACTAGAAAGATGACTCAGCAATTAAAAACACGTGTTGCTCTTGCACAGGACCCAGGTCTGGCTCCTGTACCCGCAGGGTGACTCATAATCCTCTGCAATTCCAGTTCCTGGGGAGTCTGATGCCCTTTCCTGCCTTTACAGGCACATATACTAGGTACATGTGGATTACATTACATGCAGACCCTTAAACATTAAATAAAAATAAAATATGCCTATAAGTCAAGCATATAAAATGTATGGGTGTGTTTTGTGTAAAGACATATACTGAAAAGAAGCTTGGTGCCTCTGGATTAGGATATACTATGATAGTCCTGTAATTAGTGTTGTTTCTTTCTCATTTTGTTTTTTATATTTTGGAGTATTAAGGTACTCTTCAGGGTGGAGTTTTTAAGCTTACTGTATCCTGTGTATCTTAACAGACAATAAAATGTAGTTTTATTCACTTTTTATATTTGCTGTAATGAGGAACATGGAGGATGAGATTTTAACTTTGAATGATTACATATGATTTTATGATAATGCTATGAGTAAGGAAGTATATATATATATACTTATACACATATATGCATATACATACATATATATTTTAATTGCAGGAATCATAACCCATGGGATTATGTGTTAAGTGATCTTGCCAGGGAAGAGAATTAAAAAAATGATGGTAAGTACAGCTATTTTAATCGTATTTCTTTGTTTGTTTATCAGTGTTACATGTGCCATAGTGTGTGCCTGGGAAGATCAGAGAACAGGTTTCAGGATTTGATTGTTTCCTTCCACCCTGTGTTTCCCTAGGATCAAATTCAGTCATCGAGTGTACATGGAGGTTTTTCTTTCCCACCTAGTTCTGCAGCCCTTTTTAAATAATCACTCGGGTTTAATATTAATTAAAAACTATTTGTACCATTGTAACATGAATTCTAATTGGTCTTAATAATAAAAACCCAGAACCAGATATTGTTTAAAGCTGAAAGATCAGAGAAGCAGAGCATCCAGCTACTAGTTCTTACCTCTACTAAATCCTTAGACCAAAGGGGCGATCTGGTCCTGTGAATCCTCAGACCTAATGCTCAGACTGAATCCTCAAACTGTATCTGTCTCTGCAAATCCTCAGACTGTCCTGAGCTCCTGTCTTATATTTTTCACTCATCCATATCACTCCTGTCTCCACCTCCCTAGTGCTGGGATTAAAGAATGTGATCTTAATTGCTGGGATGACCTTTTTGTGAGCTCTGCTTCTCTTTTAGACAGATCTTGTATAGCCCAGGGTAGCCTTGAACTCACAGACATCTATCTGCCTCTGTGTCTGAGTGCTGGGATTAAAGATGTGTGCCACCACTGCCCTGGTCCCTATGGCTAACTAATGATTTAGCTCTGCACTCTGATATTCAGTCAAGTTTTTGTTGTTGTTGTTGTTGTTACAGCATAAACAAAATATCACCACACCTATAACTCAGGCTTATTACTGACTAGCTATTTTATCTTAAATTAACCGATTTCTATTACTCTATATTTTACCTCGAGGCTCATGGCTTGTAATTTCATTTTTCAGGATGTCCTGCTCATTTGGTGTCTGGGTGGTATCTCTCTCTGACTCAACCTTTTTCTCTCTGTATCTCTGACTGAATTTCTTGCCTAGGTATACTCTGCCTTGCTATAGGCCAAAATGGCTTCTTTATTTTCCAATGATAGGAATACATATCTATAGCATACAGAAGAATTATTCCACAGCACTTGGGCTTGGCAGCAAGTGCCTGTACCCACTGAGCTGTCTGTCTGGCTACTGTGATCAAGCTGGTTTAAAAACTAACTTTAGGTTTTCACTTGTTTGTTGTTTGCTTCTCTTTTTCCTACTTCCCTGTCATCTACTTTTCATCTTTAAACTTCAGTCTTAGTCATTGTTTCAGACGCTGCTCCTGCCTCGGTCTGGTGCTTGTGAAATGTGGGATAGGAAAACAACTGAGAACTAGCCTCTCTTGTTACAAGTAAATCCAAGCTGACTTCCTGGGCTGCCTCAATCCAGGGTGGGCGCTGATGTAGGGGAACTAAGAACAGAAGCAACCGTGCTCTCATTCCTCATATTTCTACAGCTCAGTGTTTCCAGGCACTTCTGTATACCTGACACTACTCAAAGGAGGGCTTAGGAAGAGGGAATTTAGTCTTGGACTTAGGAAGAGGGAATGTAGTCTTACCCAAGTCCCTCCTTAGGGAGATTTGGGGATAAGGGCAAGTCTTGGAAGTATGTAGACTGTGGTGAACATTCTGAGTATTTGATTTCTTAGAGTATCTTGGGCAATATTTGAATATAACTTAATACTGGTGTTTATTGCTTTTATTTGAAACTAAATATTTGAACAAGCCTGTGTAAAATCTTTATGTAGCACTAGGTGGCACACTATGACTTCAAGTCAAAAATTTGTTGAGATTTGTAAGAAAAGTGCCCAAGTAAGAATGCTGTTGAAATAGACATCTATAAAGTGATTACGTATCTCATACTCATGGATTCCCCAGTGCTTATACTAAAATGAGTAAAAGCATTATGTTCCTGACAAGTTTACAAGAATTAAGTTGTGAAAAATGATCAGATTTTGTATTTTTACTAAAAGGAGAATGTTTAGCATGTCACAGAAAGCATCCATAATGTAAAATGAAAATTGTTCAGACACATACAAAAGGAATAGTAATATTTGTATATGTTAAATATTAGAATAAAGAAGCCATGTGGTGGTGGCATACGCCTTTAATCCTAGCACTTGGGAAGCAGACACAGGTGGATCTCTGTGAGTTTGAGACCAGCATGGTATACAAAGCGAGTTCCAGGACAACCAAAAACTGTTACACAGAGACACCCTGCCTCAAACAAACAAACAAACAAGCAAAAAGTTGTATACATGAATAAAGAATAAAACAATCCTCAAGCTGGTGGCTTTTTCTTTCCTTCTTTCTGTATTAAGTACAACAGAACTGAGTTTGTAATGGTGACCCCCATGGAGAAAGGGGCATTCAATCTGGTTTCAGGTTTAGATTACCGCAGTCTTGGGACTGAGCTCATCTGCTTTGGTTCTTGGAAGCTCATTACTTTATGAGGACACAGAGTAGGGAATTTTATGTGATGATGTCTATACCTGTAAGATTTTCTACAGGGGAATAGAGAAATTATCTGAGGGAGCTGAAAGTAAGGCATCTATTTAAACGTAGTCATTCGTCCTGGAGTCAGTTGTGGTGCTTTTGTTTAAAGCTATGGTTGTGTAATCTGAGGGATGGCGGAAAGTTCAGACAAATGGAGAAAGTTTTTGCCATCATTGGGAAGCAGAGGGAAAATAGAGAAGAGATTAGAGAATTTTGCAAATCTAGAGACCATAATATAACACAGGTCCCGGTGGAAGCTTTAATTAGTTAGGTAGATGTTTCTGGTAATTTCAGGACAAGGCCAGAAAAGTGAAGGATAGAAACATAGATATTACGTAAAAGGCTATAAGCTCTGGAGAGAAGACATGAATTCGTCTCTGGTCAGAGTATTCTGATGGGTGGGATCATTTTGTTTCTAGTAGTTTGGATTTCTTTAGTAGTAATTATTTCATTCGTGTACTGAAACTTTATTTTTGTTACGCATAGATTAAGCAGGCATCTTTATTCTCTTTCCCCCATATAACAAATTTTCTATGAGCATATAAGTATGATCTCTCTTTTAAAAATCTTGTTTTTCTTTAACTCAAAAAGTTTTGTTGTTGTTGTTGTTTAGACTTTAAATCTTTTCTCTAATTTTAGTCTTTGATCTGGTCTCTCATTTGCTATTCTTTTTTTATTGTTATTTTGATTGTTGTGGGGCTGGCATAGGTACAGAGTGGCTCCGGTTCCTCTGCTTGCTGTATCTGTTCAAGCTTTAGGTTGTATTTGTTTTGGAAGTGATTTTAATCTTATTTTATGGTTTTAAACCTTAAGACAGACTTGGTGTCTGATGAGACACATTCCAAACCTCAGATTGGTTTGTGTGTGCATGATGTGGAGGCCAGAATTTGACAGTGGATGGCTCCCTCCGTCTCCTCATTGTTATTCTGGTGCATGTGTTGGGAGTACATGTGTCTGTGTATGTGTATGTGGAGACTAGACGTCAACATTGGGTGTCATACTCTTGCTTTCCACCTTGATTTTTGAAATAGTGTTTCTCACTGAATCTTGATCTCACCTATTGGCCAGGAGCTCTTGGTGTCTTCCTGTTTCTGCTTCTATTGCTGAGATTCTGGCGCATGTTGCCATGCCCAGTTCTTTTTTACTGGGGTTCTGGTGATCAGACCTGTGGTCCTAATGATTGTAGGTTTAGCTAAAATATTTTTTCCTTTTTTCCCAGATAACCAAAAATTTCTCTTTATAGGATTCTTTCCATGAGCTTAAAAGTAAGATGTGATCTGTTTTAAAACCTGTTGCTGCCTTTACTTGATGTCAGTAAGCACTTTATACATCAATTCATAAATCTTTCCCCTTTTATTTTTAGTTCATTATATATTTATTTGTAATTGCTACGTGTGTGCTTGCAAGTGCCACAGTGTTCATATGTGGAGGTCAGAGGACAATTTATGGGAGTGGGTTCTGTTCTTTTACTATGTGGGTACTAGGGATTGTCCTCAGGTCTTCAGACTTGTTGGCTGGAGCCTTAAGGACTGAGCCATCTGTTGCCCCCATCTTATCTTTTGAGACAGAGTCTCTCACTGCACCTGGAACTTGTGTGTTGACTAAACCAGCTGGCCTGACTCTGCCCGTCTGTTCTGGGTTTACAGTTGTGTTCCACATCACTCCGTTTTCACATGGATCTTGGAGACCTGAACTCATTCTCTCATGCTTACACAAGTACTTTAACCACTGAGCATCTCCCAAGCCACTCAGATCAGTTCTTAAGTATTTGCTCTCTGAAGAAGTGTGGAGAGTAAGGAATCTGTTACATATATGCCACGTGGTGATTGACACCTAACAGTCTCATAAATAGTGCTGTTTCAATGCGTCTAGGCTTCCTTCCAGCGCTCCAACAGTCATGACAAAGTGAGGAGGATTGTTGCTGAGGAGGGCCGCACAGCAAGAAACCTGATTGCTTGGAGTGTTCCACTGGAAAGCAAGGATGATGATGGTATGTGTTTTAAAAGTTAGCTTTCCATTTGATGTAAGTTGGGAGGACAGATGGGTGTGCTGCAAGTCTCAATGCTGTGGAAGACATTATGTGAGCTTCAAAACTCAAGCCAGTGTAACAAGGCCCTCTGTAAAAGAAACAAAGCAAAATGTATAAGGGTTTATTTAGTTCTGGAGGGTGAGAAGATTTAAAGTGAATGCGCATAACTAGAACAATGAAGCAAATTGGCACAGTAGGTAAAATACATTTTAAGAAGTATACTTTAAAAAGTATTTTATTTGTTTGCTGTTTTAAAAATAATGAAATTAGCCGGGTGGCGATGGTGCACTTTATTTTTCTCAGTACTCGGGAAGCAGAGACAAGCAGATCTCTGGGAGTTTGAGGCCTAACCTACAAGAACTAGTTCCAGGACAGCCAGGGCTGTTACACAGAGAAACTCTGTCTCAAAAAAACCCAAATAAATAATAATAATAATAATAATAATGCTAGTAATCTGGTAGGTGAAATGCTGATTTACTAACTTCATAATTTCTGTTTGTCAATTAGTCTTCTAATATAAAGAATAGCACTTCTCTTTTATTTTAAAATATTTATATGTTTACAAATTTTAGTTTGTGTAGATTCATAACTTCTTATTTAGTGGGGTACAATATATGTCTCTCTCTTGATGTTCAGATTGTTGTAGATTAGACTAATGGGAGATTCTTGGTGCTCTTGTTTCCTCTGAGTCCTTCGCTCATTGTTTGAGAACAATTTTACATGATAGGATTTTTCAAGTCAGCTAAGAATACACTTAGGCTTCATTGTACAATGCTTATATTTAAAGTCCTTGTTAAAAAAAATCCAGCGCTGAATATTCCTTTCTGAGAAAGCCATTGAATAAAGCAGTCTCTGGGAATTAACAATGTAGATTTAAAAATCAACAAAACAAGAAAACTTCATCAGTCATTCATATATTCATTGATGATAAATAAAACTGTACTCGTCTGTGGTTTCTGGATGGAAATTAGGTACTAGAGATGCCTGAATGTGTTGTGTTGTTTAGTTGTATATATGTATCAATCACCTATAGTTTGTACGTTATCTCTTATTATTTATGTGTCTATTTACTTTTTCATGCCTTGAAGGAAAACCTAAATGTCAAACTGGTGGAAAATCTAAGAGGACAATTCAAGGCACTCATAAAACCACTAAACAGGTATAGCATATACACCTTTTCTATTAATCTGTTGTAATTCATTTCCTGAGTATATTATCCATTATATATTTATATTTAATGATTTGCATATTGTCTATATTTTACTTACATAAAAATTTATTGTCACATTTTTAAAATTTAATAGTGTAGATTCTGTATTCAATATTTACCTAACCCTAAGTACTTTATAAATATATACTTTCTTGTTGTTCTCATAGTAACTCTTATTTTCTTCACTTAACAAAGTGAAGTTATGAGCAGAGGATATTAGCCATTGGCTGTGCAAGCATGAGGACCTGTATTTGAATCTTCATCATCCATATTTAAAAAAGCCAGATATGGCAATATGTACCTGTTACTCCAGTTTTGAAGGTCAGATATAGGTGGATCCTAGTAATTCGCAGAATGACTAGTTAGCTTCCCTAGCCAAAGCAGCAATCTTTCAGTTTACTGAGATACCTTGCCTTAAAAGGAATAAGGTAGAAAATAGTAGATGAAGACACCCATGCTCCTCCTTTGGCCTCCATCTGTGTGTTCTAGGAGTGAACACCTGCACATTTGAGTGCAGTCTCCCACAGAATCACAAGAATGTGAAATTACTATCTGAAGAGAGGTAGATGCTCAGAGAGCTACATAACGTCCCAGCGAATGACAACCAGCAGTGTTTCTGCCCATGCTGCAGCTTTCAGTTTATAGCCTTAACCTTTCTACCACCTGCTCCATATGTGGGAATTTATAATATTTTTAAAGCAACGATACTTTTCATTTGTAGAAGTCACAATTTAGTGACTTTAAAACTTTCCAAGTAGATTCAGTAGAGCTGTATAGAATCCAGACCTTCCTCCTTTTTAAAAAAATGTTCAGGATAATTATAGTGAACTTTTCATTTTTTCTTTTCATATTTGTTATTTTAGCTTGATATTATTAGATATATTAAGTTTATATTAGCCAAAAACTTTATATAAAAAAAGCAAAGTTTAGATCATGTTATCATTTGAGTTCACAAAGAGTGCACCTTACAGAAACATCAATAACAAAATTTCTTTTTAGATATGAATAAAAGATATTTTAAAAACAGTATAGAAAGAAAACCAAACTTTCTATTTAGGAGTAAGTGGAGTTGGGGAACACAAACTGCATGGTCAAAGCATCTAGAAGATGAGTTCCAATGGGATAAGAAGCCTGGGTGCCCTTTGTGGTAGGAAACAAATTCAGGTTCTGATGTGAAAACATAGTCCTGTACGGGACTGTGTAATCTTAGAATGAAAGAGACACCCAGACACCCTGTCAAAGGGTGAAAAGACTGATAGCAATGTCTGAAGGCAGAGGAGACTGCTCTCTGGAGTAACCCTCTGATTAGAGACTCAGTCTGTCTTACTCCTTGTGGGAAAGCTGTAGGCTCCAGTAGAAGACCCAGGAAGTAGAACTATAAGGCGCCAGATTGGTGGTATCTAAAGGTAAACAAAGTAAGGAAGTGAAAGACACAAAACTCAAAACAAGTTTGCCAAATAAAATATCAAAGCATATGAAGAAAATGCCATGAAACACAGTCAGTACTTCATACAAATGAGAATTTCCTCCTTAGGACATGAACAGTAAGATGCTATTCCAAGGAGAACTTTCAAATAAACAAGTTTAGGTTCCTCAAGAGAAAGAATAGCTGTACAGGAAATTTGGTAAATTATAAAATAAAGAAATGAACTTTTAATTTTAAATATTTATAGATTATCAGTCAAAATTTGAAAAACTGCAACTGATAGAGTAAATGGCACATTGGAAAGAGATTAGTGCAAGAGCCACAAACTGGAGGGTGCTCTGAGGAGGATTTAGACGATGAGAGGCTGAAGACATGGAAGCTGTGAAAGAATCTAGGATGGAATTTCTAGTTCACGTCTTCTAAGGCTTCCAAAAGTAGGAAATAAATGGGGCGCTGAAAGTTTTTTCAGTTGCCGAGTTCTCCGGGGCTTTAGTACATAAACTGGAGCTAAGCAGCATAAATGAAGGTAACTTTTAGCTCAGCTCTGTTACAGTCTTCAGAACAGCAGGGCAAAGGAAAGTCTTTAAGCTTCCCAAAAAGTCCCACCACATAGGATTACAGGTGACAGCAGTCTCTGTAAGCACAGAAAGACAAAGGAGCAGTACCTGAGAGTTCTAAGACAAGTGAACCCAGAAAACACTTAAGCTTAAGTTCTGTGCTTAGTCAAATAATTATTCCATTACGGAAGTGAAATAAAATCAGTTTTAGATACACAAAGACTAAGTTTAACCATTGTTTTAGTTTGTCTTGTGCTGCTGTAAAAAACTTCCGCACAATGGGCAATTTAAAAGCAGTAGCCAATTATCTGGTATATAGTTCTGTGTTCTGGAGGCTGAGAAATTCAAGGTCTTGGGCCCAGTCTGTGAGAACCGTCTACCTGTCGCCGCTGGCAGAAAGTATCATGCCAGTATCATGAGAATGGGTTTGTTATTCCATGAATAAATGAGATCAGCTGGGTTGGCAGGATGACTCTGGGTAAAAGTGCTTGCTAAGAAGCCTGATGATTTGACTTTGGTCTTGGGATCCACATGGTGGAAGGAGAAAACTGACTCCCACAAACAGTTGTCTGCCCCCACACTTGCACTGTGGCTTGTGTGCATAGGGTGCGTGCACGTGGACTCTTCCTCTCTCAGAGCCTTTAACTGCCATCGGGTCCTCAGCTAATGGTGGGGCTTCGGGACTTCCTTACCCCTCATGCTGGGATTTTTACTGGAAAAATCTGCCTCTGGTTTAGGGTAGAAATTTATTTGATGAGCTCAAGTGTGACAAAAACTGAAAAAAATATTCTCAAATATTTATGTTGAAAGATATGCTTTATTAAAAAAAGCCCTAATTCCTAGAAGCCTTTTACTTACTTTTTTAAATGTTTTGTTTATTTCATCAGAGTACTGCCGTAGACTGTAAAATAACATCCACAAGTGGAGAGAAACATTTTGACAAGAGTCCCACAAAGGCAAGGCACCCACGGAAAATTGACCTAAGAGCTCGATACTGGGCGTTTCTTTTTGATAATCTTCGCCGGGCAGTAGATGAGATCTATGTGACTTGTGAATCGGATCAGAGTGTGGTGGAATGTAAGGTAAGGTGTGCTATGGATCCTTCATCTAAAGTCAGATGCTTTAAAAGTTTTCCTACTTCTGACTTGCTAACCTCACGTTTTTTTTGGGGGGGGGGTTTAATTGTATCCTTTTTACTTCATTACTTGTAATGAGAATTGTTCTTTTGACGTTTACCCTAAGATTGGCTAACACATGCTAGAGGCTTTATTGATTTGTAAGTTTTTAAATCTTGAACTTTTTGTTTGTTAAGTATTCTGTAAATGATATAGTAGAAAGCTGTTTTAACTCATAGTCCTAGGGAAGGAATTAGATGGTGTGTGTGTGTGTGTGTGTGTGTGTGTGCACAAATGCGTGCCTTCCCAAGAAAACACACAAGTAGGAATTTAAAAGTAGTATCTGAGGCAGGGTGGTGTTGGTGTGCACCTTTTATCCAACCACTCGGGAGGCAAGAGGCAGCGGCAGGAGGATCTCTGTGAGTTTGAGGTCAGTCTGATCTACAGAGCTAGGTTCAGGGCAGCTAGGGCTGTTACACAGAAAAACCCTGTCTCACCTCCCACCCCCCAAAAGAGTCATATCTGCATATCTGACTACTGTAAGTGATTATGGTGAGATTTCCATTTTTTGTTTGTTTGTTGTTTCATGTTTTAGTTGGAAATTGCTTCCTTCCTGCTGAGATAATTAGCATGCTTTTAATTCATTCTGATTAGAGAAAAGAGATTGATTGCTAACTGTAACATGATTAATAAAAACCCAGAGACAGATATTGGGGTTCAACCCGAAGGTCAGAAAAAGAAAACATCCAGCCACTGGCTCTTACTTCTATGTCAGTCCAAAATGGCAATTCTGCTACTGGGAATCTTCAGAATTGAGACTGTCTGAGAGCTGTCTCCTCCATTTTATATTCCTCTCTAATGCTGGGATTAAAGGCATGCACCACTACCACCCGGTTTCTATGGCAAACTCCTAGAATTATAGGTGTGTGTCACCACTGCCTGGTCTGTAAGGCTGACCAGTGGGGCTGTTTTGCTTTTCTGATCCTCAGGCAAGCTTTATTTATTAAATTATAAATGAAATGCCACTACAGGAGGTTAGGATGGCAAGGGGGCCTACATTTGGGTGGCCCTTGGAGATTCTGATCTTGAGGTGTCATGTACCTCCCTGCCCCCGGCTAAAGACAACTCACAGTTGCAGCCACAGCTCTTATGATGAGTGAAGCATCGTCATCGCCCTCTAGTGTTGCTGTGTTTGAGGAGCACTCACTGGTGTAAGGAACTGTCTTTTATTTCTGGTACTGGCACTCGTTTATCCAAAGTTGTATGCAAGTTTAATAATTATGAAGATTTTAAAATGTAAATTATAGGTTAAGAGTTAAAGGTGGATGGCAGGGGCTGGAGAGATGGCTCAGCAGTTATGAGCACTGACTGCTCTTCCCCAGAGAACCAGGGTTCATTTCCCAGCACCCACATGGCAGCTCACAACTGTCTGTAACTCTAGTTCCAGCAGACCTGACACACTCTGCTGACAGACCTGACATACATGAAGGCAAAATACTAATGCTCATTAAAGGAAGAGTGAGAAAGGGTTTGAGAAAATTAGAGTGAAGATTGTGCTATGAGGTGATGCTTGAAGTCTCATGCTAGCTTCACGTTATGCTCATTTTCTCCTCCGCTCTTCTGTCTACTCTAACTTCTAAATAATGTAAACAGACACAATTTGATCATTAGTCCAAGTACATGCTGTAGTACAATTTTTATTCCTTTTAGTATTTTTCCTCTTTTATCATTATCAAAGCTCTATGCTTTAATTTTGTATTTGGTTAGTATATTTGTAAGACACAAAACTCAGATTTCCCTGGTGTTTTAGTTTTTATTTATTTTTATGTTTACGGATGTTTTGCCTACCTGTATGTTGGTGCCTGGTGCCCGCAGAGCCCAAAAAAGGACATCTGATGCCCCCAGGGACTGGCGTTTGAGACACTTGTGAGCTGCCATGTGGTTGCTGGGAATTGAATCCCAGTTCTCTGGAAGAACAGCCAGTGCTGCTAACTACAGAGAAGTTGCTAGCAGCATCCTCTTATTTTTCAGGTGATTTAATCTGTGTTTTATTAAAGCACCAGATGTTCCATTGGTGAGTTTTGTTCCTTGACTGAGTAATCACAGCTCAGTTTGGTGTCCATATTTAATAGCAGTTAATAAGAAGCGCAGCATAGTAGTGAAAGGTATTTTTATTTTACTCAGGATTGTTGACCTGATTCCCCCCCGCCCCCCGTTGGAAGGTATACTTTAGTTTCAGCCATATTACTACATGATTTTCTAGGCACTGACATTCCCAGAATACCACACTCCAACCTTACCCCTCCATTTCTTTTGCTTCCCTACAACGAGGGCTAAAAGATGGACTGAAGAGATGTTGTCTTTTGTCATTTGTGCAGTTAGTATAGTGGTGGCCAGCCCCCTTCTTTGTTCACAGTAAAGTCTGAGGAGTGGACTAAGAGAATTTTGTTAAGACATTTGAGGGTCTAAACACACAAAGAGGGGAAGGATAAAAATCTCTGGATGGATATTTGCCTTGACTATGATGTGTCCAGAATCTATTAAAGAATTTTAAGGGAAAGAGTGCTGAGAACACATTTGTTTCCTTTCCATGTTTCCAACTTGAATCTGGAGTGTAGGGAACTTGACATAAATTTGTCGTTCCTTGGTGGTGGGGGTGCTTTTAGAGATTAGTGTCACCTGTATCTTAGAGTGTTTATGGTTAACCACTTGCTGTAGCTTCCCATTCCCACGTGAGGGGCGCTTGGGTAGTATGCTTCTGAACACTGGCTAACTGAGTGTGTAAAGAATTCTGACAGATTTGAGCAGAGGGATCCAGTGTGAACTTGCACACTTCCTGGAGATCACATATGGTACCTGTGCAGAAACCATGATCTGTGCAGTGATGAGGTTGAGGCCACTGACTTCAAATTGAGTCAGAGAAAAGAACCTGAACATGTCCTGTCTTGGGAGCACTTTTGTTGTCAGATGTTTGGGGATAAAAGCTGAAGATTCAGAGAAGCAGTTCAGTCAGCAACTAGAGAGACCTTTTACCTCTCCCAAATCCTCAGACTGAAGGGATGATCCTCTCCTCAGACTGCATCTGCAGACTGCATCTGTCTACACCAAAACTCAGACTACAGTGAGCACCTCTCTCCTCCCACCTTATATTCATCTCTGTACCCAACCATATCACTTCTGTCTCCTCCTCCCTAGTGCTGGGATTAAAGGTGTGTGATCCCAAGCTAGGATCATCTTTGTGTGAGCTCTGTTTCTCTTTTAGACTGAATCAATTTCACGTAGTCCAGTGTGACCTTGAACCACAGGGATCCCTCTGCCTCTGTCTGGAATTAAAGGTGTGTGCCTTTAATTGCTGGAATTAAAGGTGTATGCTTCCACTACCTGGTCTCTAGGGGCTTAGCTCTGCACTCTGATCTTCAGGCAAGCTTTTTTTGTTAAAACACAAACAAAACATTCCTACACACTTGAATGATGATAGTCTTTTGTGCTGGCTATTTTTTTTTCTCACCTTGACTCAAACTAGAGTTATCAAGAAGGAGGTAGCAGCCTCAGTTCAGAAAATGCCTCCTAAATATCAGGCTGTAGGAAAACCTGTATGGAATTTTCTTAATTAATGATTGATGTGGGAGGGCCCAGCCCGTTGTGAGTAGGGCCACATTTGGGCTGGTATCCTGGGTTCTATAACAAAGAAAGCAGACTGAGTAAGCCATGAGGAGCAAGCCAGTAAGCCACATTCTTCCATGACCTCTGCATTAGCTCCTGCCTCCAAGTCCCTGTCCTGTCTTAGTTCCTTCCCTTACTGCTTTTGATGATAAACTGTTAAATAGAACAGCACGTGAAATAAACCCAGTCTTCCTAATTTGTTTTTGGTCATGGTATTTTATTAAATCAATAATAACTTTTAAGACACCTTTTGCTGTACAAAACTTTAGATTTTTTTAAATCATGATTTTATTAATATTTGGGAATTTCACGTCATGAACCCTGAGCACACTCACTTCACAGATATCCCCGGCCAACTCCCACCCTTGTGACCACCCCCACCCCAAGAAAAAGAAGAAGAAAGAAAAAAACAAGTCTAAATTGTATTCCTTATATACTCATTGGAGTGTAATCAAACTCCAGGTGGCCAGCCCCTTATAGAAAATTGAGTCCTTCCCTGACTGTGCTGCCACCAGGAGCCATCAGCATCCTTATCACGAGTTTTAAGAATTCTCCTTGATGGCTTTCTGTCTAGGCTGTTCCTTTTTAGGGGGTATGGTGGGGTGGAAGTATGGTTTGCCACAGAAGCCTTCAGTGTCCTTATTTCTCAACTGAGTCTGCAGTCATCAATACCATGCCTAAAGAGTCAGTCATCAGGAGCACGAATCATGGACTTATACATGGTCTCTGGCATTAGCGTGCACCACTAACCTCAGCATGGTCTCCAGTGACAGTACAGACCATGGACATCATCATGTCCTGTTTTTGAAGCAGTACTATGTACCCAAACATGGCTCCCAGTGACAGTAGGCACCATGAACATCAACATGGGTTCACATGGCAGTATACGCTACTCACATAAGCATGGTGTCCTGCAGGAGCATGACCCATGGATTGGCATAGCTTCATGTGGTGACCCATACCAAGGATCAATGACATCCTTATGGCCTTCATTTGTAACTTGTCAGGGACATCAACATAGATCCTGGCTGCTGTAGGGCCACAGACTTCCCCAGGAATCTTGGGCTTCCACAAAGCCCAGGGCAGCATACCATAGATACCAACGTTGCCTCAAGGGGTAGCATGGACAATGGAGGTCTTTTGAGGAAGTCCATTCTATAAAATGAAGCATTCTTTATCTTGGACATCCTGTCATTGCATAGAACCAGAGCAATGTTCAGGGACTGAGTCAGCTGGGCAGCTGGGCAATGTTCAGGGACCGAGTCAGAATTCAAGCTCCAGGCTGCTGCACACCACCATGTCCACCCTACTGGCTTCTGGGAAAGGGATATATTCCCCTGTCCACTGCAGGATTCTTTCACACCTACCACCAATATTGAGTCTCTAGTTCTGCCTCTCTCCACCACTCCATTCTTCTATCTTTCCCATCTCTCCATCGAATATCCAAAGAACTTTAGTTTTATCAGTTTCCATTTATTCATTTTTGGTCTCAATGCCTGTGCTACTAGAATCATGTTCATAAAGTCCCATCCCTGGTCTGTAAGTTCAAGAATATTCCCTTCTTTTTCCTCTTACCATACTCAGGGCTTTGAGTCTTATGTTGTGGTCCTTAATCCATTTGGGGTTGAGTTTGTGTAGGGTGAGACAAAAATGATTCATTTTATTCTTTTATGTATAGCTTTCCAGCTTGACATGCACAATTTGTTGAAAATGTTATTTTTTCCAATATGTATTGTTGGCTTCTTTATAGAAAATCAGGCAGCTTACATTTGTGTCTTCATTTCTAATCCATTGATTAGCATGTTTGTTTTATTTTTTTTTGTTTTAATTTTTACTATAGTTCTGAAGTTAAACTCAAAATATGGGATGGCGATAATGCCAGTGGCTTTTTTATTGTTTATGGTTTTGTTTTTAGCTATCTTGGTTCATTTGTGTTTCCACATAATGTTTAAGATTGTTTTCAATGTCTATGAAGGATTTTGTTGCAATTATAATGGTGATTGCGCTGTTGGTAGGTTTTGGTAGGATGTCATTTTCACTGTTTTAATACTCCAATCTATGAGCATGAGAGGTTTTTTATAAATCTTGTATCATCCTTGTTTTTAAAATAACTGTCTGTAGTTTTCATTATATAAATCTTTCCCTTCTATTGTTAAATTTACACCAATATACATTAAATTTATTTCAGTGTATTTTGTGATTATTAGTTTGAATGGTGATGTTACCCTGATTTCTGTCTCAGTGTGCTTGTCATTTGTATATAGGAAAACTACTGCTTTTTATGCACTAATTTGCATCCTGTTACATGGATGAATGCAATAATGGAGAAAATTCAAGATATGAAAATAGAACTTAATAAAGAAATAGAATTTTGGAAGAAAAGCCAAAAAAATGAAAACTTCAGGAATTCAACCCAAAATTCAGACAACATACTGTATCAAGTGGAAGATAGACAAGTGCATCCTGAAGACAAATGAGAAAAATTCGATTAATAAAAAAATTCAAATCCAAAAGGATTCAGGAACAGAACATGCGTAGACTCTGGGACACTATCAGAAACCCAAACCTGTAAATAATAGCCATAGAAGACAAAGAGACCCAGGCCAAAGACACCAGAAATATTTCAACAAAACTGTGGAGTAAAATATCCATAATCTAATAGATGTCGATCAAGGTCCGAGAGATATAGAGAATATCAAATACATGGGACCAGAAAAAAAAAAACAAGCAAATAAATAAATAAAAAAACTCTGTACATCATATAATAGCCAAAACACTAAATATGAAGTATACTTAAAAATATATCAAAAGCTGCAGGAGAGAAAAATCAAGTCACATACATAACTGCTCTTTCCCGCTATAATACAATATTTTTATTAATTGAGAATTTCATTCAGTGCACCCTGCTTACACTTGCTTCCCAATTTCTCCCTACATTCCTTTCACTCCCCTCCCCCAAAAGTACCACTTTCATTTTGTATTGCTCATCTACTCATTGGAGTATGGTCAAACTCCCATTAGCCACCCTCTTAAAGATAATTGAGTGTCCCATGGTTTCCCCACCACTACCATTACCAGAAGCCATCAGCTGTGATGAGCTACATGTCAGCATCTTTATTACAGTTCTAAGGATTCTCTTCACCTGTCTGAACTGTTTCTTTTGTTGGGGCGGGTGTGCAGTGGTTGTCACAGAAGCCTTCAATGTCTCTCAATCTCAGTCATGAATGTGCAGTTATCACTGCAAAAGAAGCTTCCTTGACCATGGCAACTGGCAGCAGCATGGACCATGGACACCAACATGGCAGTTCTTAATAACAAAGGAAAACTTTCCATGATAACAGATTTAAGGAGCTTTTGACCACTAAACGAGTTCTATATAGAATTCAGAATAATTACTTAGATCTGAAGAGAATGTCAGATTTGGCCAAGAGTGCTCAAGGAAGAAAAACATCCCAGAACACTGAATCAAAAGAGATCTAATAACAAAAAAAGCACCAACATGATGGGCATTACACATTGTTTAGTAACTCTTAGTAAAGTAACTTAATAACTCTTAGTAACTCTTTAGTAAAGCTTAGTAGGCATATTGTACTTAGCATGTGTAAGGCCCAAGGTTTGATTCACAGCAGTGCTCCCCAGTAAAAAAGCATGTGCTTGCCTTTTCAGTCTATTTT